GACGTAACGACGTACGTACGTACGTACGTACGTACGTACGTACGTACGTACGTACGTACGTACGTACGTACGTACGTACGTACGTACGTCGTACGTCGTCGTCGTCTTCTCTCTCTCTCTCTCTCTCTCTCTCTCTCTCTCTCTCTCTCTCTCTCTCTCTCTCTCTCTCTCTCTCTCTCTCTCTCTCTCTCTCTCGTTCTCTCGCGACAAGAGAGCGGGCATTGATCACCGGCCGCACCCTCTGTAACTAGCATCCAACACGAAGTGGAATGCATCGGGAATCGTCATCGAGAGAACAGCCGTTGATGAAATTCAATGCCGTGTAACTCGCCCCAGAGGCGCGGAATGAACGGTATCGATATCAATCTGATTTTTGCATAATTGCGCTCGGTCAAGTCCACGTTACATTCGCCGGTTTCTGGTAGATCTGAGAATATGTTGCTCGATTCATTTTAAGCGTTTAAAAAAAAATAATAATATTGACGAATAATATTTCTTTGCTAAATGTGAAAATAAAAAGTAACAGTTTGTAAATTTGTACATTTACGACTGAATTGTTTCTCCGCCCGCTGTGAAAATTGTAATTTTCGTGCGCGTATCTCGAATTAAGGGACCGGAAGTTCAAAATCACTCGGATAACGAGCTGTAAAATTACAGATATACGTGGTGATCGCGGACTGAATAACGGACAGGGCGTATCGCTTTTACATGGGTATTTAATGTAACTGGTACGTGCCGCGGAACCGATCGTGGCTCCGAGAGAGCCCGGGAAACGTTGGGCGCGGGGTATAAGTGGGGTGCCTTTGGCGAGACGAAGTGTAATTGGCTTCATAAGGGTCGACGAGAAGCGCCCGGAGTATCGGCAAGCCTGAAACCGCTTGACGAGGCCAATACATCTCTCTCTTCCTCTCTCCTTCTCTCTCGCGCGCTGCCGTGCCCTTTTTCTCTCTCGCTTTCTCTCTCTCCCTCTCTCTTTCTCTCTCTCTCTCTCTCCACCGTCATTCGGTGCAGTATACACGAACGGATTGGATGGACTCTCCAGGCTAGTACCCACCCCGTTCCTTTTTGCGTTTTGCGGGCGAGCATGTCCCGGAGGCATATTCCCCGTGACAATCTGGCTCTTCTCTCCCGTCCCCTCGCGCGCGCTGAAATCGGTCAACGCGTGGTTTTCCCCGGATAGGGCCACTCTCAAACCCCCGAACGTGTAACGACCGCCGGCCGATCGACCGTAAAGAGATCGGCCTTCCGTCTCCGGGATCTCGTTTGCGCACGGATAACGAAGCGCGCCCATACTCAGCGAAAACAATCGGGGATTTTCGAACCATCGCGCTCTGCCTTCGACTACTTGTCGTCGCGTACGCGCGAATTAATCCTCAAGCGCCGAAATAAAGAGTTCCGTTAAGTGCAAATTTTTTTCCCCGAATAATCCGATTGATCGAACGAGCGCCCTCGGTTTAAAAAAAAATTTTGTTTTAATCTGTGTTATCTTTCCACAGAGATAATTAGAGTCGTTATCCTCTGTGAAGCGAGTTCGTTATTTTTATTTCCCGGCGTTATTTGTAATACCGGCGGACAAGTATAAAACAATTCGCAAAACGCGCGGATGCTGACGCTTTTTTTTGTACGATGGAGCTACTTTCGATCTTCGCATAACGACGATTAGCCACTCGACTGTAACGAGACCGGCTCCCACTCAGCCCGGGGCTTTTAATCTCATTTGAATAACGAAGCACACTCGAGCCCGTGAAAACAATGGCGGCCGAAACGAAATTTAATCCCACGTAAAAGTAATAATCCGATATTTTATCTTGCGCGCGAATTTGTATGCCGTGTGCAACACGATACCCACCTACGCCATTCCGTGCATTACAATCGTCGACCAAATTACGCATGCGAGAATTCTGATATTTTAACATTACATAAGTTGCACAGCCATTTGTCATTTACTCCCCGCTCGTATTTTCACGAACGAGCTTTGGATGTAGCATCGTGACAAAGCGAGACAGAAGGGACGACGAAACCTCGAAGTCGGAAGATTCTCGCATTCAGTGAACTTTCGTGCAATCGGCCGGGGACAGGCAGAATTAAAATCGCGCAAGCTTGCTCAAGCTTAATCTCGGTTAACGATACGGCAGAAAGGGATGGAACGAGGATGAGTCCGCTGGATGGTGACTGGGTGCAAGCGCACACCCGGTAGAACAGGAACGCTCTATTCGTCTAATGCGACGTTCGAAAGGGTACCGGGAATTGGGAGCACGATTTGCGGAAGAGAGTGGAAGAGTAGAGAAGTAGAAGAAGAGAGAGAGAGAGAGAGAGAGAGAGAGAGAGAGAGAGAGAGAGAGAGGG